ACGCTTGCCTATCAGGCACAAGACTCTATCTTATGCCCAGAATACCACAACCAGCATGGTGGTTCATACCTGTAAACCAGCATGGTGGTTCACACCCATAATCCAGCATGGTGGTTCATACCCGTAATCCAGCATGGTGGTTCACACCCATAATCCAGCATGGTGGTTCACACCCGTAATCCAGCATGGTGGTTCATACCAGTAAACCAGCATGGTGGTTCACACCCATAATCCAGCATGGTGGTTCAAACCCGTAATCCAGCATGGTGGTTCACACCCATAATCCAGCATGGTGGTTCAAACCTGTAATCCAGCATGGTGGTTCACACCCATAATCCAGCATGGTGGTTCACACCCATAATCCAGCATGGTGGTCACACCTGTAATTCAGCATGGTGGTTCACACCTTTAATCCAGCATGGTGGTATGCACTTACAATCTAGCATGTTTGGACATGCCTCTAAACCAGCATGGTGGTGCACACTTGTAATCCAGCATGTTTGATATGCCTCAGAACATGGTGGTATACACCTGTGATCTAGCATGTTTGGACACACTTGTAATCTATCACGTTGGAACATATTTATAATCCTGAATGGTGGTACATCCTTATAAACCAGCATTATGGTACACACCTGTAATCCAGCATGACAGTTCACACCTGTAATCCAGCATGTTTGGACAACATGGCTGAGGGCAGTCCCAGCTCACACAACCCTAATCGTTGGGGAAAGAATGGCCACAATGAGTAAACAGTATCTGCACCAGTGTGATGTGCTGGTGTGTGGGCAGCACCCGGCTGTGCCAAACAGAGCAGCAGAAGAACCCCACCTGCTGACTGCTGCCCACCACCTGCTTTCTCTTGGTCTTGGAGCAGATTTTCCAGAACCTCTCAGAAGCAGAATGGACTGAGAACTTCTGCACTCTCGGAGGATATGTTTGGGCCTGCCCATACCCTCATCCCCTTGCCACCTCAAGTCACCCACTTGGCCAGCACCCTGCTTCTAGGGGGTGGGTCTGGCAGAGCCTCAGCCTTCCTTACCTTGAAGGCACTCTATTTACCAGGCCTGGCAAAGTCCAGGCATTCTAGTTCTTGCTGATCCCTCCCCACCTGCCCCTAAAGGTCACTACCCAGGGACACATTTCCTTGGGGGCATGCGTACAGTGGCCACAGGGATGTGCGGGGAGGTGCCCGGCATAGGCATTTGCGTAAGGGAGTAGCCTCAGGGTGCTCAGCGGCCCAGGCCCGTGGGTGTCAAACAAACCATCAGTGTCCAGGGCAGCCCACCCAGCAGAAAACAGTCCTTTCTGTCCCCTGGGGGTGGAGCCTGACAGTAACCCTGTGGTAATGGGGCAAGGGACACAGGGCCATCCTCCCACCCTAGCCCTCCTTGTAAACCTAGCCCCCTACACCCCAGGATGAGGAACCCTGGTGGCTCCAAGTGTCTGAGTGTTGGCTGGATGGCTTTCGATGACAAAGACAGTATCCACTCAGGCAGGCAGGGCACCGGGAACCCTTGGTCTTTCTCTCCCTCTCTGTCCATTCCTGACCCCTGCATAGTAAACTCCAGGAAGGCGAGCAGGCAGGCTTGCAGCCAAGATCCAAAGAGGCAAGCAGCACTCTTGTCGGTGCCAAGCCTGGGGGAAAGGTGTCAGGGGAGAGGAGAGCTAGGTTAGAGGCCTGTGTTCCCTTTGTTGCCCCCTCCCCTTGCTTGTGCCCTCTATAGAGTAGCAGAGGAGTCTCTGCCACTCCACTCCTGACTTCCAGGGCATTTACAGTGTTTGCAGAAGTCTGGGGTGGGGAAGTGCCTCTGTGGAGAGGTGAGCTGTTAGCAAACCATAGGGCTGGAAAGAGCCAGAGCACCCTGCTGTACACACCCAGAGCAGCTAGGGGAGGGCAGGGGTGCAGACAGAGGGTGGGTTATGCGGGAGGGAAGTGCTCAGGGCTACTGTTTGCTGCACTAATGTATACAGGCTTCCAGTGGTACCTAGGATGATGGGATGTCTCCATAGTGAACAGAGGGGGATGAGGAGGGTGTTCACTTTGGTCTCTGTGAGCTTGGTTCCTCTGACTGTAAGTAGTCTCCCACCCTCCACAGAATTGGGGGCTATTTGTTTTTCTAGGAGAGGAGGCCCATTTGGATTTAATACAGTGCCCACCACCTAAGGACCTTTGCCTCTAGCCTCAGGTTGGGTTTTGTTAATGTTATGGTACCTCTCCCAGCTTCAGTTCTCTCCATCCCGCATTCTTGTGGGATGCTTGTCTCCTGTGGGCAAGGCAATTAACCCACCCGGAACTACTGTTAAATCACCTAGCACATGTCATTCACCCTGGACATCCTTCATCGAACAAGAATGTCCTTGACTACCTGGCTGGAGTACATGGCTGTAATGCCAGCATGTGGAACTTGAGGCAGGAGGATTGCTCCAAGTCCAAGGCTATCCTGGGCTATATAGTGAGTTCAAGTTTTGCCTGAGCTACAAAGTGCATGAAGGACAGCCTAGGTTTTGGGCTGTAGGGTGAGACCCATCTCCTTTCCCCTTGCAGATCCGCACTGTGTACCAGAAGTTGTATAGGAGGTGAGGTTGCAAAGTGAAAGAAAAAGATGGTCCGGTCTCAAGGCATTTCAGGGCAGATTAACTCAGTCTGGCCTCTGTCCTGGAGTTTCTGACTCTACAGATGAGGAAAGCTCAGGAACTTTGCCTGTGTTTGAGTCTGGCCAGGTTGGCCTCAAGCTCACTATGTAGCCGAGGCAGGTCATATATGTATTTCAAGTATTTCACATGATTCTATTGTCAAGGCAGCTGCAAAAAAAAAAAAAAATGGCCATAAGGAATTATACTAGGGTGCACACTGGGAAGGAAAGGACGTGGAGGAGACTCCAGAGTTAGAACAGGTAACGTGGTGCTGGAGTGCCTGGCCGGGAGCTACCAGGCAGCTGTGGGCAGGCCTGAAGAAAAGAGCATGCGCAGAGGGTGTGGGCAAGGTAGAGCCCAAACACTGGAGTCAAAGGAGCCTTCAGAACTAAAGCCTGCTGCACAAGAAATCGCTGTGACTGCCATGTGAAAGGGTCTTACGTTGAGCACAGACCAGCTTTGAACCTCAGGCTCCTGACCAGGTTGGGCAGACTCAAGCCTCTCTCCCAACTCCCCGCTCCAGCTCTGGGCCCAGACACTTGGGAGGGGAATTCCGTGACAGGCTTGCGTCTGCCCAACTTCATCTGCTGGGAAGCTTTACCATGCCTATGGCTTCTACCTGCTGTGTATCTCAGCTTCCCATAGCTCCTGGTCGTCAGTGGGAACCTGTTATCAGATGCCATGACCAAGACGCATCTGCTAGCAGGCAGAATCCGAACCTCAGGTGCCCTCCGCAAACCCCCTCTCACTCAGGCTTTGTTTGCCCAGACGCTGACAGAGAAAGCACGGGTTTTGAGAGCCTAAGAGTCACAGGTCCTCTACCCATCCAATTACGTGGCTCAGCCAAGATCCCCATCCCTACCACCTCACACACCCTGCAGCTTCCTCCTCCTGAGGCTGGAGTGCAGTAAGAGGCCGCACAGGGATCCATGCCCAGTGCCCATGGGGCTGGGTTTGGTTGGCATGGTGCTGGCAAGTGCTTAAGTCCTACTCTAGGACATGTCAGGGTGTGTGTGGTGCAGGGGCCACAGGAAGAGGGCACAGGAAGAGGAGGACCTAGAGACTGATATCATTCTTTTTTAAGGTGGTATATTTGTGTGTGTGTGTGTGTGTGTGTGTGTGTGTGTGTGAGAGAGAGAGAGAGAGAGAGAGAGAGAGAGAGAGAGAGAGAGAAGGTCCTCTCTTTAAACCTTTATGTAGGATCCAGGGATTGAACTCAGGTCTCCAGGCTTTCTCGGCACGCACCTCTACCTGCTGATCTATTCCACCAACCCCAAAAGAACCATTTAAAAGTGTGTTGTTCAGCACTCGGGAGGCAGAGGCAGGCAGATCTCTGTGAGTTCGAGGCCAGCCTGATCTACAGACTGAGTTCCTGCATAGCCAGGGCTACACAGTGAAACCCTGTCTTGAAAAACAAAAAACAAACAAAAAAGTGCATTGTTGAGTCACACCTACAATGTCATGTGAGCCTCACCACGAGCTAGCAGCAAACCACTCATCACCCAAATATGACCCGGTACGTGTACCTGGGAGGCAGCTGCCTCCACCTCCCCAGAGAAGTTTAAGAGCACATGAGGTTTGGGCCACCAAGTTGGAGTGTCTGCTACAGAAGCAGTGATCTGAGTTCAGTTCCCAGAGCCTGTGTAAAGATGGAGAGACGCTCCACAGCGCTGTCCTCTGACCTCCACAAGGAGGCCACGAACTTGCGTTCTCCCCATTAGTAAATAAAACAAACATTTAAAAATGAGCTGGGTGAACCTGACCCTATGGACAGCAAGGTTCATTGTGTGAACTAACCTCCCTACCTAGTTGTACCAGGTCTGTTCCTCCATGGTAGGCAAGGACAACCCCAAATGTGGAAAAGGGACCATCACTCAAGACAGTAATTTTCTCTCACCCGTATTCTCAGCTAATGGGGTCTCCATCATTAGACGTCACCAAACCCAAGCCCAGTAAGGACGTATGTGACATCCTGTGAAAACATACATGCCACCAGCTGCAACCCCACTAGCTGTATGGTGATGAAGGGATGGGGCCAGCAGCTCCTTGCATGCCCATCTCAGCTGTCCTGGGTACCCACACCCCAAGCTTGCCCTCGGAGGAGTGCCAAGAATGCCAAGTAGTACTACTGGGTGGGGAGGAGGGAGAGTTGGCCATATCTCAGGGACACAGAGAATTCCATCCCTGGGCACGTCCGTCTGAGGTCACATGGTATCAAGAAGGTGCAACCAGAGACTGGAAACCCAGCCCCCTCCCATATCAGACTAGGAATGTTCTGTATGTCTTCAGGGGAGGAACCGGAGTCTGCAGCAGTCTTAGGAATTTCAATTGTGTTCTGAACCCTCCACCCAGCCTGCATGAGGGGGGCACTTGTCTAGAGCACTTTTGGACCAGCAGGAGCGAACAGCTGAGACTTTGTATGATGGTGACTCACTGACATTTCTGGGCCAGGCTAAACAACGCAGACACTTTACTCTAAGCTGGAAGCGGGGTGGATATGTGGAGTACCAAGGGGAGCCAAGGGCCATCATCCTCACTGTTGCAGTGAGCAAGTAGCCTCACCTCCCTGTGCCTGTTTTCTCAACTGTAAAGCGGGTGAGTGTGGGGTTACCTGGCCGAGTCCAGCCCTTGGCATCCTCCTCACAGTCTGGATGTTAGCACTGCTCCTGACTAACGCCGGGTGGGGGTGGGGGGGGGATGGAGAACCACTTTCTCAGGTCAGTGGGTAGATAGGCCTGTGGTACCTGATCCTTCACAGAGCCTAAGTATAGGTTGTAACTGTGTAACAAACTGTAACTAAAACCCAGCCACTGGCTTGCAAAGGTTGTAACTGTGTAACAAACTCTAACTACAACCCTGCCACTGGCCTGGCAAACAATAGCCTTCTTTTATTTGGGAAGCTGAAGTCTGCGGTTTATACTCTGGACAGGTGAATCTAAGCTGAACTCTTATCTCGCTCATCTGTTTATTGTGACTATTGGTGCTATTTCTGTACTTTAATTTCTGTAGTTTTGTTTCTTAATCACATTTATCAATGTGCTTGTGTGCGTGTATCTGTGCGTGACAGAGCACACATGTGTGGTGGTCAGAGGGCAACTGCTACCAGGTGGGTCCAGGAATTGAACTTGGGTCATCAGGCTTGGCAGCAAGCACCTCTGCCAGCTTAACCATTTTGCCAGCCCTCATTTTTTTTTTTCTGTTTTACAACCAGCCTTACCAGTGTTCACTGACTCTCTTCCATGGTACTACCGAGAGGTCAGCTCTTCCTGCAGGTCCAAGAGCCAGGGCTTTAAGAAGAGCACAAACGCCTTCTGTCGACAGAATCTCCGCCCACTGATTTCCTTCTCATGGCTTAATTGTCCCAGGAACTTGTTTTGCTTTTAGACTTCAGGTTCTTGATATGGCTGTGTGAAATACTGGACTTGGGCCCTCTTAATCTGTCTTTGGCCATTGATGAAAGGACACCTACATACACACAGTTCCACAGAGGCACACCTTGTTGGCATGCTGGAGGCCACAGTCGGATTGGCTCACTTTCCCCCTTCATGCCCATCGACCCAGTGAGAGAGAACGAGTGTTTGTCTAGATGGGCAATGGAAGAGAGAGTGTGGCCAAGTCCAGGAAAGACAAGAAGGGGACACCGATGGGACTTGTGACTGATTCCACTCGGGATGAGAGAGAACCACAGAGCTCCCCAGCACTGGATAGAGCGACCAGGCTGTGGTGGGTTATTGTCACTGCTGGGATAGTTTCAGTCTGAAGTGTCCCCTCCAGGCTCAGGTTTTGAATGCTTGATTCCCCAGTTGGTGACAATATCTTGGGAGGCTCTAAAACTGTGGGAAGTGACACCTGGTTGGCAGAAGTCAGGATGAGGCCTTCCAATCTGGCTGGCTCCCTCTTCCCAGGTCCACCATGACGTGCTCCACACGTTCCAGACAGAGCCACTCCGCCATCTCTTCCCTGCTACAATGGATATGTCCTCCCTTGAGTCACCTTCTCAGGTGTTTTAGTCACGATGACGTAAAGGAACTGATGCACGATGCACAGGAGGGGACTTTGGCTCGGTGACCAGACATGAGGGCTGAGGCCTTGTTCACACTGGGTCTGCTGAGGCTTCCCTGGAGAAGAGCAGGCTGCATAGTGAGTTTCAGATCTGATGTCTCTCCTCTGACTCAGTCATCGGTAGAAGAAAACCCACATCTTCAGGAAGTGTGTGACACTCACCTGCCAGGAGAGCCAGGGCTGGAGAGGGAGCTCAGCACATCCTCAGGAGGTATGTATGTGACTCCCATCTGCCAGGAGAGCCAGTGCTGGAGAGGGGGCTCAGCAGGTAATGGCACTTGCTGCCTAGTCTGACTACTTCTAAGTTTGAGTCCCAGGACATACGTGCTAGAAGGAGAGAACTGACATGCTGTGCCATGTGTGCCCATGTGCGTGCACACGCATGCAAACACACACACGTAAAAAAAAATATGCTTTTGTAAAAGAGCCACTGGACTCCGCAGCTACACAGAGCTGATTTGCTCCTCAGGAGGGGAAGGCCTGTGAAAATACAGCAATCACATTTGGAGTCCGGCACAGAAAACACCATGAGCAGCTCACACGGGGAAGTGTGGTGCCATTGGAGAGCCAGCATGCCTGTTCTCCACCCAAGTCCTGAGTCTCTCCAGCTCAGAGCCCTTGGCACTCGCCCTTTGCATAATGACCCACCCAGTGGGCCAGGGAACCAGTGTTGTAATCTGAAAAAAGTGATGCATGACAGAAAGACGCCATGCAACAGAGCTCAGGTGGAGGTTTGTTTTTTTTTCTCCCCCAGGTGGAAGGAAAGTGAAGAGGAGAGGAGAGGAGAGGAGGGGAGGGGAGAGGAGAGGAGGGGAGGGGAGGGGAGGGGAGGGGAGGGGAGAAGAGAGGAGAGGAGAGGAGAGGAGAGGAGAGGAGAGAGAGGGGGGGAAGTGGGCAGGGTCCTTTTAAAGGGGAATGCAATGAAGGTGCACAGGTGGTACTCTTCCTGGCTACAGCAGAGGTCAAACACCCCGAGGTCAGGCCAGTACAGATGCCCTAATACTAACACCGAGGGCACTACATTTAAGTCCCTTCTTTAAAAACAAATGTGGTGCATGTATGTGCACCACATGTGTGCCTGGTGCCTGATGAACAGGGCATCAGCTCCCCTAGAACTGGAGTTATAAATGGTTGTGAACCACCACATGGATGCTGGGAATCAAACCCAGGTCCTCTGGGAAGACAAGTGCTCTTGTCTGCCAGGCAGTCCCTTCAAGCCCCTTAAAGTGTTTTCTGTCTCAGCCTTCAGGACTTGAATTTTCCAGAGGCACCAGGCTTTTTCCCATGCTTCTTCTCCCTGCCCCTCTTTAAGACAAGAGCTCATATAAACCAAGCTGGTGCCAGATGCCATGTGAGGTGATGACTTTGAACTTCTGATCACCCTGCTCCTGAGGGCTGGGATTGAAGCGTGCTTCCCCACACCAGGCCACTTTGTGTTTCTTTTTGTTTGTTTGTTTGTTTGTTTGTTTCTGTGCGTGCTTTTGCTTGCAGGAGTTGATGAACACCGCATGCCCTCAGGCAGAAGAGGAGACCTCCACTCCCTTGGACCTGGAGTGGCAGGCCCTTGAAGCCCTGTGCTCTGCAAGAGCAGTATGCTCCCCTAACTGCTGAGCCATCTCTCCAGGCCCACCGTACCCAGTTCCGTGTGGTGCTGGAGGGTGGAGCCCAGGGCTTCATGCATGGTGCGAAGGCATGTCAGCCAGTGAGACCTTTGAAACAGTACAAGAAGAAGGCAGGCCTGTGGCAAGAGCAATACCCAACTCTGTGTCATCCGTACCAAAGAGTATGGGTGGAAGGTAGACATATAAACCGTTTCTGCCCTTGAGGCAGGACTGTCCAGCCCTGGGTAGCCTGGAATTTGCTCTGTAAACCAGGCTGACCTCAAACTCACAAAAACCTACCTGCCTACCTCTGCCTTCTGAGATTAAAAAGTGTGGGTCACCACAACCAGCTCTCCCGCTTTTTTACAAAGTCAAATGTGCATATATGCATATAAATTCAGCCTTCATTTTCAAATGCCAGCAAGGGGTGCTATGGATTCTTAAAAGCTTCTAGATATAGGGCCTGGGCCCATACCCCTCAGCCACCTCAGTCCCCATACCATGGACTTCATCTCTTTCCTCATGGCTCTTTACTTTTCTCTCTCTCTCCAAGATCTCCTAGAGTTATAACACCAGTTCTTGTCTTCAAGAAAATGCTAAAATGCTGGGCTCAGGCGCGCACGCACACGCGCGCGCGCGCGCGCGCGCACACACACACACACACACGTGTACTTCCTAGCACTCAGATGGCAGAGACTAGATCAACAAAGTTTGAGTCTAGCAAGGGCCACTTATCAAGACCCCTGTCTTAAAGAACAAAATAATAAAAAATGTGTAAAGATCATGAAAAACAAGGGAAGAAAAGATACTAGCAGATAGATAAATAAACAGACAAATGAGATTCATTCTAACCCAGTAGAATGTGCATCGGATTCTGGACCAGAAGGAGGAAGTGGATGAAGAAACCAGTGTGATCTAATAAACTCTGGAATTTAGTAGACTGAAATGTGTAGATATTAACTTCTGAGTTTGGTAGACTCTCTATAACATCTAAGATGCCAGTCATCAGAGGTTGAATGTGGTGACAAAGCCTTTAATCTCAGCACTGGGAGGCACAGGCAGGAGAGTCTGAGTTAAAGAACAGCCTGGGCTACACAGTGACACTCTGTAGCAAGAAGACAGACAGACAGACAGACAGATGACAGACAGACGACCGACAGACAGACAGACGGAAGGAAGGAAGGAAGGAAGGAAGGAAAGAAAGAAAGAAAGAAAGAAAGAAAGAAAGAAAGAAAGAAAGAAAGAAAATTCAGGTACACTGGGTGAAATTCGGAGTTATGGGTGGAGCCACCACATGGACGCTGGGAATCCAACCGGGATCCTCTACAAGAACAAAAAGTGCTCTTCTCTGCTGAGACAGCTCTTCAGTCCTGAGTCTTTGTTCCACCGCACAGCCTACTCCAGGCTAGCTGGCCAGGGCACTTCCTGGCAGCAGTCCGGTTTCTGCCTCCCTTCCAGCTGTGAGAGGCTGGTTATAGACATGCGTACCACCTCACCTAGCTTGTTGAAGTAGGTCCTGGCTATTTTGCTTGTGCAGCAAGGGCTCATCATCTGAACCACCTCCTCTGCCCAGTTCTGTTACTGTTGCACTTATCTATATAATCTGAAACTACTGGGAAAGGAACCCGGTATCTTAAGCATGCTGGGCAAGTAAGTCATCAAGTCTGATCGATCCCCAGATGATATTCTGAATATTTAAATAGTGAGGAGAGGAAGGACAGAGAAGAGAACATAGGCGAGAAGAGGCGGGAGGAAGAAAGCCTCTGGCATCCCTGGGGATGCCCCAGGGCTCCAGGCTCCGCCCATGAGTAAACCCGTCTCAGGACCTCCCACCGATCCATCAGCCCCAGGAACTAGCTCAAAGAGCTGTGATTTACTTCGGTTCTGTAGCTTCACATTTTCATGAAGATAGGAAAGGGAGAAAATGACTCTTTTATTTTCTTTTTCAGCTTTTTCCAGCGTTATGCCATTTAGCAAACCGGCGCAAAGCAGGAGCCTGAGCAGGAACAAGACGCAGAGCCAGCACAGCCCGAAGAGTTTCCACAAGGGGCGGATCCCCCACAAGGGGCGGAACCCCCGCAAGGGGCGGGGCCTCCACAAAGTGAGGAGCCTCCGCCAGGGGGCCTGCCGCAGGGGGCGGGGCTGACACAAGGGACGAGGCTGGCGCAATGGCCTGGGCAGACCCCAGAGCTGGTATAACCCACCAGGCGGGGCGTGCTGGGGAAGACCTTGCGCATGCGCATGCACTTCTCCTTGTCGATGCATAAGGTATTGGCTTTGATGGCCAGCTCGTGCTCCAGCCGAGACTTGGTCATCACCAGCATCTGTAGCGTGTCTTGTGTCTCCCGCAGCCTCAGCCTGAGCGTCTGTAGGGTGTCGTCTATAGTGAAAACTTCGTTCACGAGCCTGCGGTGGGGCGGAGAGAAACCTCAGAGACATTCCTTTCAGCACAGCCACCCCGTGTGCAGCAGGGAAGGTGCCTCGGGTGGCCACAGCACTGCAGTCCTCAGCCCTGGAAGGAAGGACAGGTGGACGCGCCCCTCTGGGAGGGTCACCCAGGCTGACAAAGCACTGAGGCAACAGATGGGACAAAGGGCAGAATCTGACAATAATTTAAACATAGGTTTGCCCCCAGAACCTGCAATCCGTCTCTTGCTTCTCCAACCTAAACTGAAGACAGATCTTCACACCAAGTGTCCACAGCAGCGCTGTCCACCATGGCCCAGAAGAGGGAAAGACAAACGGTGGTATGGCCACACTGTGAAACTATTCAGTGTAACAGAAGCCACGGTTCACTCTGTTTTTGTCTCTGAGAAGGTGTCATTGTGCTGGCCATAGTGACATTGTCTCCAACTCCAGTGCTCAAGCTGCCCTCCTGTCTAAGCCACTCAAGCATACCTGACCTATTATGTGACTTGTTTTGCCTTGCTTTTGCCCCCTCCCCCCACCTTCTCCTTCCCTTTCCTGTCCTGGTCTCACATAGTCCAGGCTGACCTCAGATTCTCTACACAGCTAAAGGGTGACCACCTGGAACACCTCCTCCTTTTTCCTTCACCTCCCAAGAGTTGAGATTATAGGCATGAGTCCTTTTTTGAATGTGTATTGTTTTTGTTTTGTGTTTTCAAGAAAGGGTTTCTATGGGTAGTCCAGGCTATCCTGGAACTTGCTCTGTAGACCAGGCTGGCCTTGAACTCAGAGATCTGCCTACTTCCTCCTGCTTCTGCCTCCCAAATGCTAGGATTAAAGGCATGTGCCACCATCACCTGACCATGTCAGGTATATTTTAAATAAGGACTGGCTACTTGGAAAACATGGTCTCTGCCAGTAAAACACAAGGGCTAGCCTCATTTACATATGAGACCAGGTGCATGGTGGCTTCTGCTCAGGTCCCTTTTCCAGCTGGAACACACATCCATGCTGCCTTAATTCCTCTTGGATCATAGGTTCACATCTCAGAGAATTGTGGCTCCTAACCAGTGGGAGCCACTGCCCTGGAATAGAGCCCCTCCCAGCAACCCACAGACATGGGCCAACTGACTCAGCTCAGGCACAGTGAAAAGACCCCTAGAGACACGGGGGAGGTGGTCAGAGGCCAGTCCCCACGTTGTCTCATGCCTCTCCCCGTCTCCCCAGGCTCTCTGAAAGTACTGACAAGACCCTGAAGAGGGAGTTCAGATTACAGAGGGGGAAAAGATGAGAATGAATGGGCGTGTGGGGGCCGAAGAGGAGCGGCTCCATAACGGTACTGCCATAGGGACTATGGGTTGGTCATGCTGTCCATGCGTGACAAGCCCAGGAGCCATATGGGCTGAAGAACACCTGAAACATGACTTCCTGATTCAGAAGCTGATAAAAAATAATAAATAAAATAAGCCCTCTATTCATTCAATTCATAGTCTACATCTTAAATTAAGCTTTAAAAACTTTTAAAGACAAGATCTCATGTAGCCTAGGCTGGCCTCAACTCTATGTAGCTAAGGTCCTCCTGCCTCAGCCTCCTGAGCATTCTGTGCATAGTTTCTGCGGTGCTGGGGACCAAACTCAGTGTCTCATGCATGCTAGGCAAGCGCTCTACCCATTGGACTACATCTTCAGCCCATTTCATTTCAAATAAGTTCAATTTAGGGGGATGGGGTTCCGTTGGCAGAGTGCTTGCCTGGCATGTGTAAGGTCCTGAGTTCAATCCCCCATTCCACATAAAAAGAAAAGCAAGCAACCAACCAAGCAAGCAGGAAACAAGAAGAGACCAACAATAGGCTCCAGGAGTGTGGCAGCCACCAGAAGACAGAGGGAGGCTTGACACCCCTCCTGATGCTCCTGAGCCCCCTTTCTGGAGACTCGCGCCCCTCTCCTGTTGTCCACGGAAGCAAGTCACTTAGCTAGCAGGTAGGTGGGATCTAGCCACGCAGAAAGGACTTGTGCTCTTTGCAAAGGAGGGGTTGGAGATAAAGAGGGCTGCAAGCAGGCACCTCTCCCATCACATGTTAGAGATGCCAGAGCTGTCTGTCTCTGCTGCCAATGTCTTCTTGGCCTCACAGAGGAAGCAGGAGGGTTTCCTGAGCAGAGAAGCAGTGCTGGCGGTTGAGGGAGCTTCAGAGAGAGACTGCCAGGGTGCAACTCAGAATGCAGACCTCCATCCAGCTCACAGCTGAGATCTGAGACTGGGAGTCCTGATTCCTGCAGGGTCTGTTCCCAGCCCCGGGGTTAGTACCTTCTGCAGCCGTCCAGGCAGGACTGAAGATAGTTCAAGGAGAGGCTGCACCTCTCACTTTGGAAAGCATGATTGAAGCTATAGTTCCCAAGAAACTGAGGTTCCCTCCCCCCAGGAGTTCAGACAGAGAAGGAGCACAGGAGATTTTACACAGCTCTAATAATCTTATCAGACCATTAGCCAGAGAGACAGGGGCTCCATGATGGGTGAGACCTCGCCGTGACTAGGGCTGCTATACAGTCCTCTTTCCTCTGTTTAAACCTGAGCTCATTTCAGGACAATGAAGATGGGCTGGGGTGGGGGATGGAAATGGGCCACACCTTATAAATCTCCCATCTAACTGGCCTGTTAGATGAGCAGATAAACCCAGCATGTTAGAACTGTCGGGGAGAGCCCAGGCTCTGATGCTTTCAACAGTAACAGTGCCATCTCTGCGACCCCACTCTTCTCTTCCTGGACCCCAGGAGCCCCACCCACCTCCACTCACTTGAACTGTGGGATGTCCCTGCAGAGCTCCACGTTAGGCCGTCGGGTCCTGCACGCCAGCCTGGTCTGCGCCACCTTCAGTGGGCACTCCTTGGCCATGATGGCCCTCTCCAGCAACATGATGGTGTTCTCTGCCTGGAAGATCTCCTGTAGTGTCTGTGGGGACCAGGAGACTGTCACACACCCCTCAGAATTCTCTCACCTCCTCCTCTTGGGGAAGGCAGGGAGCTGAGGTCACTTCAGGGGCCTCTAAGCCTTTAAAATCCTCCTTCCCAAACCTGAACCCCTTAGGGACAGGGACTGTGACTGGGATGACCTTGAGAAGTTGTTGCCACTACTGTAGGTCACTGGATGCTGGTCAGTACCAAGACAAATTTTGGTTTTAAAACTCTGCTGGAGTGAACCACTGTGGGAAGAGAGGGAGGGGAAATGACAGCAGGAAGAAGGGAGGCGTGGGAGGCCCTTCTGTCTATGTGTTGCTTTTATTGGTTAATGAATAAAGCTGTTTCAGCCAGTGGCTTAGCAGAATAGGACAAGGCAGGAGTTCCAAGCAGATAGAGGAGAGAGTAGGCAGAGTCAGGAAGAAGCCATGCAGCTCTGCCAAAGACAGATGCTGGATGGAACTTTACCCAGTAAGCCACAGCCACGTGGCAATATACAGATTAATAATAAAAATGGGTTAATTTAAGATACAAGAGTAAGCTAGAAATACGCTTAAGCTATTGGTCAAGCAGTAATGCAAATAATATAGTTTCTGTGTGAGTATTTCATGGTCTGTGCAGGTGGGAACAAACAAGTGGCCTCCTACTACAGCCTGATTTCAAGATGACCACACCTCCTGTCCTTCCTCAGTTCTAGAATGGAGCCCATGGTTACTCATTTCTCCACATGCTTCCCCACCCCCACCCCAACTGCCTGTCTTGAACAGACCTGTCTGTGGGTTTTCCAGAACACTGGGGTTTTCCAGAAACTTCTGCTACGGCTCACTGATGATTCATGCCCAGGGCACATCTGCCCAGGCCCAGGTGGGTGCTCCTGCTGCCAAAAATTGTTTTCACAGCCTCTTATCTAGCCTGCTACTCAGCCGGACTGTCTTCATCCAAAGGGAGAATAAAAGTCCCACAAGTTCCACTGAGGTGCAACTCCTGCCCAAGCTCTGGAAGCCTGTGTGCCTCCAAAAGTCTGTGGAAGACTGTGACCACCACCCCCCCGCAAAGGCTGGAGGGTAGCAGCAATGTGGGCTGGCCAGTGGCTGGACTTTTCTGCTGAAGGGGAAGCCATCAGGGCCCTCAGGGAGGGCAGGAGAGAGTCCTGATGTGGCCTTCCTAGTGAGCGAGCTACTTCTGCCAGGCAGTTGTCAAAGGTGATGAATGACAACAGCACAATCCTGCTTTGAGACCATCTCTGATCCAAGCATGTAAATACCACATATATTTGTAATGACACATTAAATGAAGACTCGATATCTATATCTAATCAAAATGGGCCTCCTGGAACGTAGAGAGAGCAGCTAGTGCTACAACAAAGTCAGCGAAGAAGTGAGCAAGGCACTTCACATGAGCAAGGCATGCCAAGAGCACGTGCAAATAATAAACACACCAGGAGAGGAAGGAGGAGGGGGAGGGGAGGAGGAGAAGAAGAAGGAGGAGAAGGAGGAGGGGGAGGGGAGGAGGAGGGGGAGCAGGAGAGGGGAAGAGGGAGGAGGGGGAGGGGATTAGGAGAAGAAGGAGGAGAAGGAGAAGGAGAAGGAGAAGGAGAAGGAGAAGGAGAAGGAGAAGGAGAAGGAGAAGAAGAAGAAGAAGAAGAAGAAGAAGAAGAAGAAGAAGAAGAAGAAGAAGAAGAAGAAGAAGAAGAAGAAGAGGGGGAGGAGGAGAAGGAGAGGAGGAGAAGGGGGGAGGAGGAGGAACAGCTCCCACAGTCTCAAGAGTAAGCTAAGGGGCCCAGCAGGCTAAGGGCTGTGTTAATTGCTTGCTGCAGGTGGGGATGTGGTAGTTAGGTGTTTGTCCCAGCAAGGAGTCCCAAGCAGGGTAGAGTGAGCCATGGTTTGTTTCTTTGTTTTTAGATTTTTGAATGGAGATCAAGAGGGGGTCCTACAAGAGAACCAGCCCAAGGGAGCTAGCCCTACCCAGGGCTTGCAGATTTCTGGGAGAAATGTACAGACAACTTTGGAAACGGATGTCCAGCGTTGGGCTCTTTCTCCAATGGCTCAGACTCTGCAGACACCCCAGGCACCCACGGGAATCCAGGAGGCCTCTAGAGAGGAGAGCCTGGGCAAGTTGGCACATGCTCCCCAGTGCAGAGCCTCAAATCCCAGGTACTTACCAAACATATGTAACGTGCACACGTACACATAGAGTGTCTCAAAACCTACGTCCTCTGAAGCCACCCACCCACCTGTCCCCAGAGCTGTTACATCCCCCACATTCATAGCAAACGCAGCAGGCTGCAAAACATGGATTGCCCATCTATAGCCCCAGCATTCCAGAGCCCTGCCTGGGCTGTTCTGAAAGCTGGTCTCGGCAGGAACAAAGAAGAAAACTCTAGGCATTCATCACAGGGCTTTGCTGGAGCTGTCCCTTCAGCCTGAGGGAGTGCTCTCAGATACACACATGCTCACCTCATCACCCCCTTCAGACTGTGGCTGATATGCCCAGGAGACTTCCTCTGCACCCCTTAAACAAAGCATCAGAATTTTAACAAATGTGTCAGTTCCTTTCTTTCAAACACAGATGCGGCAAGGCCCACTCAAGTTTACAGTCACACTCAGAGCAGAGGAGGACGCCCAGCAGTTCCCACCCCGACCTGGTTACACTACACTACACACACACACACACACACACACACACACACACACGCTTGGTTGCCTGGCATCTTGGCCCCACGGCTGGTATACACACACACACACACACACACACACACACACACACACACGCACGCGCGCGCGCCTGGTTGTCTGGCATCTTAGCCCCAGGCTCTGAGGGGCTTCCCTGGAATGTTCATCTTTCTGTTCCCACAAAGCTGGGGAAAAAGCCTCCAGGGCACAGTTTGACTCATCCCAGAGACTGGGCGGGGCCTCTGGGGATTGGGCCCAGGGGGTCACCCCATGGGAGGAGTCTTGGCTTACTGGGTCAGGCAGCTGCTTGGCCTTGCTGACTATGGCTGGGAGCGGGAATTCAGTTGGGAAAGGGTGTGAGGGAAAAAGGGCCCCTGCTTCACTCCTCTGCATCCCCGCAAGGCAGGGTGCCTGCGATGCCAAACAAGGAGGCCAGGAAAGGAGTCTCCTGAGCCGTAGCAAAGGGCGGATCACTCCGTCCCAACACACAGCTTTTAGCCCAGACGCTGTTCTTACTTGCTGTGTGACCCTGTGAGGTTCACAGCCTCTCTGAGCCTAATGCGACCTGCACACAACATCTGGCAACATCTGCAGAGTCCTTCCTAGTTGCCAGATCCTTCAGGGCACGGTTTCTTTTGTACTCTGGCAGAATTACAACCCACTCAGGTTAGTGGGCTAAATGAGATAGTTTGTGGGGTGGTTAATCCTTTTGTTGATGGATCTGGACTGAGGGTGCTCAGAGAGCTGGTAAAAACATCAATGGATATATCTGTGAGTGAGCCCTAAAAGACCGTTCTGTCAGGCTCAGTGGGTCCAGTGGGCATGCCCATCCAAACCTAAACTGCATAAAAGTACAAAGAAAGGAGGGGTTCTTCCTCCTCTTGAGCTCCGAGGCCAGTGCCTGCCTGCACCACAGGACCTTGCCTTGAGACTCCTATTTCTTACTTGTAGGGGAATAAGAGATGGTTTACTCTGAGGTAAGTATCAAAGCTGCTGTCTCTTACGCTTCTGAGATTCAGAGAACAGTTGTTCTAGACCAGTGGTTCTCAACCTTTGTAATGCAGCCCTTAACACAGTTCCTCATGTTGTGGTGACCCCAACCATAGAATTATTTTCGCTGCTACTTCCTAACTGTAGTTTTGCTGCTATTACAAATTGTAATGTAAATATTTTTGGAGATAAAGGTTTGCCAGAGGGGTCACGACCCACAGGTTGAGAACTGCTGCTCTAGATCGTTGTAACTCAGAGTGAGGGCCAGTGACCACTGAACTCTGAAAGCTTGCTGGAGAGGACACATCTGGCCCCAGCCTAGACCTGCTGCCAGGATCCGCACACTAACAAGGCCCTAAGGTGATTTGCCTGCATGTTCAAGGACACAGCTTGGTCTGGCGTGTGTGGTTTGAGGTAGCACATCTGCTATGTGTGGTCTTGGCGAAACCTGAATTTCTCCTAGCCTCAGTTTCTCCGTTTGCACCATGGCAACAGTAACAAGGCTGGGAGGGGGTCTTTGTTTTCTCCCCATTCACAACAGGACCCTCTAGGAGACCAGCTGTTGGCAAGCTCCACCCAAGTGGGATTGGTGGAATAGAAAGCTGTAGTTCAAGGCAGAGTGCTTGAGGAGCGCACACCAGGCAGAGCGCACACCAGGCAGAGCGCACACCAGGCAGAGCGCACATCAGGCAGAGTGCACACAAGGCAGAGCACACACCAGGCAGAGTGCACACCAGGCTCCAGGTTCTCTCTTGGCACTGGGAACACTGTCGGGCCCTGTGCAGCGTGGAAGGTAGAAATCCTGACAGCCTTAGATGAAGCCGACCTTGCGGGGCAGAAAAGTGTGCTGCTCTTCCCGCTGGAATCTAAACCACGTGCTGGCTGGGATGGGTGTGGGGTGCATGTGGCAGAGCTGCTGCCTCGTAGAGCTCTCTGTCTGCATCTTGTCTTGTGACAGCAGAACAAGCCTCCAAGGCTAGGCACTGAGTTTTAAAGTGGAGAGAGAGCTGGGTTTAGCTCCAGCTGGCTTTTGACCCGCGCCAGCTTTGTGCAACCTTGCAAAAGTATTGTTTGCCAATTTGCATGAAGTCAGGGGTTCCCAGGGAGATGCCTGGCTTGACCCAGACAGACTCCCCAGCTTCAGAAAGGGGAAAGAAACCTGGCAGAGTGGGGGGGGGGTCAAATAGTGGGACATTTATAAGTTCACCCAAGCCTGGGAGCAAAAAGTAGAGAGAGAAAAGGGCTCAGGAACACTGCCAGGAACTCATGGCATGGATGGTCCTGTACCAGGGTCCTCCAACTTGAGTTCTTAAGTGTGAGCGTCCAGGGGCGG